TCAAGCGTCTGCTAACTTTTTTCGGCCACGTGGCCCGCCGAAAACCAGATAATTTGGAAAAAAATATAATGTTAGGCCACGTGGACGGTAGAAGGGGCAGAGGTAGGGCACCTGCACGTTGAACTGATCCTGTACGAGAAGCAGTCAAACAAAATATACAGTCGGCGGTCCATTTAGCACAAGATAGAAATGCCTGGAGAGTATTGGTTGGAAGGAGCATTCCTGGTGGTCACGACCCTCAGTCTTGAGGAACCGACAAAGAAGAAGAAGATCTGATTATAATTATTTATTATTTGATGGTGATTAGAATCACCTTTAAAAATATAGGTGTATAATATCCATAAGAAATACTGCTTACTGATATTATAAACGAGAAAGTTACTGACTATGGAATAATGGATGTCTGTTACTCTGAACGGATTTTAAAGAATCTTTAAAGTAATATAGCTTTTGCATCCGAATAACACAAAGGCTATTTAAAAAATATTAGGTTTATTGGGCAAAATATAATGATAAATGTCAAGTCAATATACCTATCTATCTGTCTACTGGAAAATCGTGGAATGCTAAGCTATAATAAATAAATAAATGTGATGATATGAAGTTACACGGGTAAACTAGTATTTCCGTAATATTACGTCGCGTCTACAATTTGAATCCCTATTATGTTGTGTCGATAAAGTCTTGGGAAGCAAGACAGCCGCCGTCGAAGAAAGACGGCGCTTGAAAATTGACTTATAAATATGCACTTTGAAAAGTGTTTATTGTAACGCCTTATTCACAATATATAATGTTGTGATACTATATACTACTTTAGATATATGTATATAAGAATATATTTATTGTTACTGTAATCAGTGTCCGCTAAGATAATTTTGACCATCTAAAGCATGAAAGACAAAGTCAAACCCTACATAATTTATTCAAATAGAACATTGTTTATTTTCAAACGTCAATTGTTTTTATTACTATTCCTCATGTTCAGATTAGATAGCTACATATACCAATTAGTTGAGAAGAATACTTTGATATTAATGAAGATTTTATTGTTCCTATAGTTTTTTTAATATATGATTAACGTTGCTTTGCCATCTTCTTTTTTCTCGAATTCTGGTATTGGATAATGTACCTGTGAATTTTTAAAGAAGTTTTCATACTAACTATAATAAGATACAGATTTATTGCCCTATTACCCAGTGGGGCTAGACACCGAAGATTTATTAATACTAAATCAGGTTAAATCTATAGATATTTCATCAAGAAATTTTCACAAAGCGACAGATCTGACCTTCGAAGCTTTTTATCAAATGTATATAAAAATAAAGGTAAAAGAAACAAGGCATCGTACTGCTGATCCTCAAGCCGAGAACAATATGCAACCAAAATTAAACTACTTGTCTTTTAATTTTCAATCAATGTCACAATCAATAACCACTTCTTCATGGAAAGAATGATCTTAAACTATAAAAGCGATTAAAAAACAAATATAGCAATAACAAACAGTTGCAATTGATGTACGTAAAAAGTTTTGTGAAATTAAACCTAAATATCTTGTGACGATTGTTAATTGGCATTTTTATTACTACAAATAAGTACCCATTTGTATTTAAATAACAGATATGTCGGTAGCATTGAGAAACCACTTAGTTTAAGAGTATTAAAACACTATATTGACATTTAATATTATGCAAGAACATTTTTAATAGACACCATTGATTGCCAATACTCTTACTCATATTTAGCTCCGAATGTAATGTATGAAATTTAATCTTTTTTGTTATCAAATAATTTAGATTACTAATTTACACACATATTATTATTTACATGCCTCATAACAAGACCGCTCTTAGATTCCCTGTTCACAATTAACAGTCAGTCTAAATTTGTTTAATTAATACATTGCTAATTCAATGTACTGGTTGTTAAAAGTTTGCAACATTGCTAAACGGTGTTACTAATTTCATATACGAAACTCGGTAGTTTCAGTTCTATTTTAAATAGAACCATTTGTAGCGAATTTCGAATTTTGAATTGCCTGTACTGTACTGTAAAATCATAAATGAGTGCATGTTAAAATTATAACTAACGACTATCCAAGTCCCACGTACATTATGAGACGTGTGAAGTGCATACTGATTTTACCCGTGTGAAACAACTTTATTTTGTACTAAATTGCCATAATTGAATGTAATAAATTGAAAATGAAGACCAGTTGTGCATAAATATATATTTTTAAACTGTTTTGTAATAAATTATGATTATGTGGAAAGTACTTATACACCATGTACACTAGGGTCCACTTTCGGTCCACACCTTTACTTCTGTAAAATATTATCTATGGAACCTGTGTCTTTAAAATATTTTAATTTTATTATCAATCATCATCATCATCATCGCAGCCCGGAAGACGTCCACTGCTGGACATAGGCCTCCTCCAAAGATCTCCACTTATAACCCCATTATCAATAATCAAACATAATTAATTAATGATCATCTTAGTTATCTACTGTTTTAAAAACTACCGTTACTCACTAATTAATACTAAGAAATTAAAAATATTGTAACAAAGAAAAGCTTTACGCGTTACCTAGCAACTAAAAACTTCGTTAGGGTTTGTAAGGGGTTTAGTTTTATATTCAAGGATATGATATTTCCTTTGTCTCTTCATGTTTCTAAGATACTCCTTTATTATCCGCGTCTAGCTTTGCAGCCCTTAGCTTTTTATTAATACCCATTAACAAGCGGCACAACGGCTTAGCTGTCGGGTCACTAAACATGCTTGACATTTGATGACTCCGGTCAGCTAAAAAACACAAAACAAATGTGCATATGTTTGTCTATGTCATTTGGTACAGTAGGAAACATTTCAATTACTTCGTGTTGATGCCTTTATTTTGTATTTCTAAGTAATTAAATATTAGTAATAATACTTATATGTAATATTATCTAGCACTTGCATATGTGCTTGTGTGCCATTAGTACATAGATTTCTTAAAAACAGTTGTGTCTAATCTATCCGATCTGTACCATGAATTTTAAACAAAAGTTTTCATCAGAATATTTTACTTTTAAAATATTTGTTACTTTTTAATATATTACTTAAGCTTAACTGTTTTAACTTTAAATTCACCAAATTCACAAAGATTATCCAGATTATTCTGAGTATGCTTTTTATTAAAATTAAGCCGTACAGAAACACAGCACTTTTAAAAGCGAATACATATTTGTTTTATCTCAATATTTAATTCATAAAACCAACAATTTTATTGGTTTCATAGGGAGATAATATTTTGTACATATTGAAGTAAACATCATGAATGTATATTTTCACACCTACTATCATTATAGTTTATGCCCCGCCACTACCGTATTTTCAGTGATAATTAATCCGCTCTCGGACACGTCCATTAAGCTTATGTCGATACGAACAAAGGCTAAAATTGAAATTGCCGAAGCGTGGAGATTCGCACCAAATAGATGTGATAATCCATTCAACGTGTTTTGGGCCGTATTGGTCATTGCTGAGCTCAGGTAAAGGTATTGAAAATCCACTCGCCCTCCTGACTAAAAATGCCTTTCTATTAGCTAATAGCGAAATCAAATAGGTTTAATTGATATTTAGTACAATTGGCTTTTGTTATTGTACATAATTTCATTGCTACGTATATATATTACATAGTCACAAATTCTTTTGACTGTTTTTAGTAACAAGAGATTGTCAGCATTTGTCGTATATTGATGATTTATACGTAACGTACTAAATAACCGTTAACAATATTTTTTTGTAATTGGCGACATTATAATGCCAACCTGTTGATGACCCTTGACAGGCATCACGTTATTTTGTGCCATCCGTGGTACATGCGTTATCATTTCGGGATACTAAGACATGATATCTCATATCCTTTAAATGTGAAAATAATCTATTGTCGACGTATAAAAGTAGTAATTGTGATTTTCGCAAATCACTAAATTGAATATGTGTTGTTTAGTACACGAGTATATAGTATTTATATAACCGTGTACTTAAAAGTGATTAACTAAAGGACTTTCTTTTGCACTTTTTGTTGGTATACGTTGGTGTGTAATGTTATCTGTGGTACGGGCTTCCTATTAAATGATTTACATTTTGAGTCAATAAAAACATAATGAATTTCGGGAAACATATCTGTGTAAAATGTTTTTAAACATTGCTCTCCTATTTGCTAATAGTTAGGATATGTTTACTGTCAATTATAAAAATAATTCGAAAATTATGAATCCCATATATATTATTTATATATTTAATAAAATAATTATATATATAAAATTAATTAAACATTTTCCTTTTTAATTGCTATCTTCCACGTCGTTGCCCTGTCGTGTTCAACTTCAAAGTAATTGTTTTTCCAGGAGCCTACAGAATTTCCATTGTCGACAGAAATCTTGATATCCACCACCATCTTCCCACTCACTGCCACTAAACGCGTTTGCGTTTGATTAAAATTCATCTTTAAAACTAAAGAATCCTTCTAATTAATAGCATAATCACTCGTTCATGTAATATTGTAGAATTACTTTGTAGAATTACTTAATTAAATTGAAATTTTCTATTTATACGAATTGAACCGAAGTTGGCAATCTGAAAATAATTTGTATAATAGCAGAAAAAACTTTCAGTTCCATAATTTAATGTTCTGTTTTGTAAGGCTCAGTTAATTCATGTTTCAGTACCCATATTTTAGCAGCTGTTCGTGTAAATAACAAACTTTTAATATGTAATTGTAGCTGCACAGTTAATCCTATGGGGTTTAACTGTGCCACAATATAAATAAGTTAGTAGTAATACCATTTTTTTTATGTTGTAACATGTACGATCTATATCATTGGTAATAGCTTAATATCCACTAGAGTGCGAAAACACTGACTGCCTTTATTTATGGACAGCACATCCGTCCCAGCGTTTTTAAATAATTAATAATAACACAACCTATTTGTCACATAAACATAACATACTCGTTTTTATTTAAACACAAATCACAATCCGATCTTTTATTATAAAAATATATCTAGCAAATTATTTTCTAATACAGTTTCCTACAGTGTGCTTGTTCGTAACGTGGACCATCAAGTTGTTCGAATTACGAAAATTCTTTTGGCAGACTCCGCAAGAATATTTGTAGACTTCAAGTATACCCGCATGCTTCTTTGCAATGTGACGCGATAGGTTGACACCAGAAACAAATACTTTATAACACTGTTTACACCGTGCTCCGTCGTCGTGTACGTATAGCAGATGGCTCTGCAATGCCGTCATAGAATTGAATTTTTTTTCGCACTGGTTGCAAGCAATGTTTTGCGGGTGTATAGTCGCTATGTGATTAGCCAGGCCGCGGCTAGACGTGAACGAGCGGCGGCAAATATCGCACCAATTGATCCTTTCCTGTGGGTGTTTGTATTTGAAGTGATTGCGAAGAGCCAATGCGGAGATGAACATCTTCCCACACTCAGAACAAGGTGCTTCGGCCTGGCTACAGGATTCGCTATGTTGGGTCAGCAATTCGGCCGTTGCGAAGTTTCTGTAACAAGCGTGGCAGCGATGCACGTAACGATGCTTGTAACGCATATGCTTTTGTAGACTAATAATCGAGGGGTATGTTTTGTCGCACGATATACATCGCACTACGATGTCATTGGAGGGGTGTTTGAGCATCGAGTGGGCGTGCAAAGTGCTAGTCGTCTTGTACAGCTTGCCACAGTGCTGGCATTCATGTCCGCTCTTCTTAATTCCTCTGTCACCTTCAAATATATCACGTAACACCGTCATGGTACCACACAAATATTCGGCCTCCGGATCTAAACGCTCCACGTCCACCTTCACCTCCGCCTCGTTAATATTGCAGCACATAGTTATTTATAATAAAAAAAAAATAAAATAAATACAGTTACAGAGCCAACAATGGATGTTGATAATGTCATTGAAAAAAAAAGACGGCGATAATTTTTTTTATAAGCGGCCGTCGGCAGTTGTAATGCTATAAAAGTTTGAATTATTAAATTTTATTGATGAACGTTATACAGTCGTACGTCCGGCAAATATTTCGAATGTAATCTGAATAAATACCACCTAATTGTACGTCTATAAAATATTCAATATTGTACAGCGTGTTTGTTTTCTATGCACATATTATATATGCCCATTTTTTATATTTATTTATTCCTGTCTATACATCAAAAACTATTTTTACATTTTTGTATATTTATTATTTTCAAATAAATTCAGCAATTGAGGTTTCATATTGAATTACCAATCATCAAGTTCCTAACAATCAGGTATGTATAGGAAAATCATATACTGAATATAATATGTACGGCGTGAATAATTAGGTGTGTATTAAGATATGGTGGTTTGGTGTTATCTGGAATTTATACGTGTTTCTTTGTTATCATTTTTCTATAGCTTCCTAAACTGTTCTATTTATCATCATTTATTAGGCTTTGTGGATAAAGTGTGGTTGTAAGTGTGTTGATCAACTTTTGTGATCTTGAGAAAGCTTATAGAGGTAAATAATTATTATTTTATAATAATCACGTTTAATCACCATTTTATGGCTGCCGTCATTAACAACTACTAACGTACCATTTCTTAGCTAGTTCCGAATAATTTATTAGGAACAAACAATGGTGATTATACGTGTAAACAAATTTGGAATCGAATAAAATCGATAAATCACTCATTAAATTTTAATATGAACTCTAACACATACATCACTGATAGTTCTGTTGGCGGGAAAATTGATTCCAAATTTGAAAACCTGGGTTCCTATACCAATTCGTGGTGTCATCGTGTGGTCACGTGTCGTGTGGTTGTTTATCGGGTCGCAGTTAAATCGGCTGCGGCGCTTCGCTCTCCACCTGGAAGGACGAACAGACGGTTAACGCGGAACGAGAGCCGCTACCATTCGGGTGAGTCATTACATTATAAAGAAACTAAAGCTGCCCACGCCTCGGTCTTTGGTGTGTCATACTTGTGGTCTATGTCTATGGTATTTAATATGGCCTCTTTGGGAATCAAGCAACCATCAGTCGTGTTGTTACTTCCAGCTTTTAAGGTCTTTGTTCAAATATTTTATATATGTCTAACTACACTCGCGAGGAACCAAGTCGACTCAAGTGCTACCTCTACATTCAAATATTGTTCGAAATAAAAATATACAACATTTAAATAAAAATAATATGTCACTTGAAAGCTTGAAATCTACGCTTTAAAAAAAAACATCAACACCTTAGATTAAAACAAGTACCAACATGTTCATTTGCGCTATTAGGGCGTATGGGAATAATTACTCACTACGCTACCTGCGAGTTGCGCCACCCTGTACCCCTATAAAACCCCCATGACCCTTCAACCCTTATCAATCATTTATCAACAGTTGACCGATACATATCTCAGCAATCTGCATTTATTTTTTTCAAGAAACCATGGATACACCTCAAGGAGCCGTTCAAATTGTTGCCTTATTGCAATAAGGATCCAGTCAGCGAGTAGTCGCTTCCCAGCTTCACTTGAGTCAGTCTGCTGTATCCCGAGTGTACAGACGATATCAAGAGACTGGAAAGCGACTACTCGCTGACTGAATTCTTATTGCAATAAGGCAACAACTTGAATGATTCCTTGAGGTGTGGTATCCATGGTTTATTGAAAACAATGTATGCAGGTTGCGGAGATATATACCGGTCAAATGTTGATAAATGACTGATAAGGGTGGATGGGTCACGGGGGTTTCTATAGGGATACAGGATGCGCAACTCGCAGGTAGCATATTGAGTAATTTGTCCCATACTTGCGCAAATAAACATGTTGGTACTTGTTTTATTCTATGGTGTTGATGTTTTTTTTAATGCTTAGGTTTCAAGCTTTCAAATGACATATTATTTCTATTTAAATGTTGTATACTTTTATTTAGAACAATGTTTGAATGCAGAGGTAGCGCTTGAGTCGATTTGGTTACTCGCGAGTGTATTATTTATTTTATTATTGTTACTATATGGGTTTTTATGTATATATGTATGTAAATGAAACATCTGGGAATTGTATGTGTAGTGCACGATATAATTAACAAGAGAGTTTTTGTAAAAAAAGGGTAAAATTTGTTGATAGTATTTGTGAACATCAATTTACAAATAGTATCAACAAATAGCAATTTTGACAAAGCACATTGCGTTAAAAAATGTATCAGACGAAAATGTGATTTATGTCTTTTTTTATCAATGTATTTTACTGGCAATTATGTATTTTAACTCCCTGTAAAGGTAATTTGCCCTGATAGATAAACTAACCTCTACTCTTACGAACATGGGTGTATTACACTATATCCTTAATATTGTCAAAATATTAATAGAAATTCGTTAATGGTGTGATAGTTTTCGTTGGAAGCCCTCGTGCAATAAATTCCAACATTATGTTCTAGTTCTCATTATGATGTTTCATCTTTTTTTAACAAATTCTATTTCATCGTATAAGCTAGGGGTATTGTTTTTGTAGTATATAAAATATACATGGAAATTATTAATTTGTTTAAGACTTTTAACTTTTACATATATTATCACATCAAAAAAAAAATATTTGTACAGTATATATATACAGCTAGAGTGTAAATATTTGTTATGTGATATTTTAGTCTACGATATCATATGTCGTATATATTTTGATATATTTACAAGATTAATATTATTAAATTAACATCTTTTTGAAACTGGTGGTACTTTAGTAGTAATCTTGAATTTTAGTATCCTATCAAAAATATTTAAAAGTAATTATTAATCTTGTAAATCGTAAGGGTTCTATAATATATATTCATTTATAACTCTACTTGTAATTAAATTATTATAGCAAAAAGATTTTCAATTTTTTTTTGGGCTTTTCAATTATGTATTACAAATAATTTTTAAATTGTATAAAAATATATTTATGTATGTATTTACAGGAAATATATATTTAATTATTCATATAATTTCTCTAGTAAATAAGTGCTAGTACTAGTTAGTTTGGCACTATGTAACATGTCTAGAATTATGTATTAATAATAATAAAATATATATATATATCTACGCTTTATTGTTCTTTGAAAATATATATCTATTAACCTAATGAGCCTGTGACCTGTATCTAACACGAAGTGGATGTGGTGTTTTATATGCTAACAACTCAATATGATCGTCTGTTCTTTGAACGGATTTAGTAATTTACTCAAGTGGAGAGTAGTTTAGCAGCTTAACAAGTACTTGAACTTCAGACGTAGATGGGGATCAACGAGACAAGTACTTGTCTCTGTATGAAAAGGAAACTTATAATATGTGTCGGCTGATCTTCAAGCAAATAAAATAGGGATCGTCTCGACACCGCTCAATCGCATTTCCTTTTACAAATTGTATAACTCTGTTTGTGTACTTGAAGTATTGAAACAATGAGCAATACTTACAGTTAAATCCTGTACCTATTTGTAGATATCTATTTCAGCGTTAATTAAATTAGGAATTTATCCCTGACCTCAAAAAATGTATAGTTATTAATCGTGTTAATAAAATGTTATAGCTAAACATTGCTACAATACTAATTGACTACAACTTTAACTCAGTCCAGTCCGCGTTTTACATTTGATGTAAATTGAACTTGTAATATAATAATAAAAATACGGTTCGTTACAAGTATTTACAATTGCAAGGCAACCTTACTCAGATTTAATATTGCACACAATTATAAGATAATGTTCCTGGAGGTGTGGTCGTATCTGCCCTAGTGTGGAAAGTGAGCTCTTACGGCAATCAATAGATTTTATCTTGTGAAATTAGTACCAACTAATAACTGTTCTATACTGCAGCGACTGGTCCTGTAGCTATCTAATTTCGCATTACTTTTAATAAACGTAGGAGTTTCTTTTAATCAACAGTATTTTCTGCCCTTAACTTAAAAACAGTTTGAAATTAGTTGCGTTTTTATTGATTACTTTAGGAAACCTTACCAAATCTATCGTCTAATTAGAAACATCTTAAACTGACATCGACTTGACGTACAGCAAAAAATATGTTTTCTGCTCTTTTCATATGAGAGTCTGTTTTGGATTTTAATGTTTATCCATAGAATACTTTCCTTCCACGGTACATATTTTACTTTAAACAGATATGTTAAAATCGCTCATTTAGATAGATTATTCGTTATAATATTGATTTTGACAAATATCATACGTAATAAATTCGTTAATAAATTATTTTATCTCTCATGTTTTAGTTTGAATTACATAATTATATATCCAATTTAATTCTGTTTACCCTACGTGCTAGCAGATAGGTAAACACACAACTTCCGCTTCTGCACATTCATAAATCCTATACATACAGCCCCCTGTGATCGCCTAATCCACCCTGTCAGTGCCTGAGATTCAAGCTGAGTGCATTTTCAGTGAGAGTTAAATAGTTTCTCATAGTTTTACGACACGTTAACCATATATTTATTCAACAACAATAGTATTAAAGTAATTATAATTGTAAGTAATTATTTAAACAATAGAATTTCTTTACGATTATAAAGAATCATAAAAAGAATTTTATGGAAGTTATAATAAACAGAATACCTATAATAATAACAAATATATTTTGTTCCTGAAAAACAAAGCAACCAGCAATCAATACATTTTTTATGCTACAAACAAAGGAAGTAAGCCTTATAAATTGGAAAACAATTAAGAAAATCCATTCAGTTGAGGCGTTAATGTCGCCTCACGTATTCTAAAAATACCGTTCAACAGAGTATTTATTTTTGGTAGCCGGTAAAATGTTCAATTACCATCGGCTTACAATTTCCGTATTAATCTGCGACGGTGCCCCGGTTTCAGAAATGCGCCAACATCTTTGCAGACGCGCTGTAACTAGCATCCATTATGCACACGTTGCATGCGGTCACAGCGCCAAACA